CGCTGAGCGTTGCAGATGCACACTGTGATGGGGGAGCCATGGCCACCCACTCGGCGTCCAGGCCTGGCCTGGCTGAGCCGGCACTTCCTCTGGCGCTGAGCGTTGCAGATGCACACTGTGATGGGGGAGCCATGGCCACCCACTCGGCGTCCAGGCCTGGCCTGGCTGCTCCTGCCCACGCCACTTGCCAGCAGGCTCAGGGCTCAGCCCTCTCTGCGCGCTGGCCCTCTGGTTGGGACGCAGGAGCTCACCCTGGTGCTCCAGCCAGGCTGTGGGGGGCTCACCCTGCTCCACGTACCATGGGGGGCTGGCCCGTGTCCATTGTGGTCCCCCCCACCCCACATGGGGTGGAGGGAGGGGGGAGAGGTGGCTTCATCCCTCTTCCCCCAGCCGAAGTTGGGGCCTCACCCTCATTGTGGCTCTTGCGGTGTGGAGCCGGCCTGTGAGTGCTTGCACCCAGGGAGCGGCCGGGTGACCGTGCTGGTCTGTGCTGGGGGAGTGAGTTCTCAGGACTCTGAGGTGAGCATGTGCCAGGCTGTGGGATTGCTTGTAGGGCCAGCGAGGCTCCTGGCCTGCCCCACCGCGGACAGATGGCTTCTGGGTTGCTGGGAGCAGGCTGGGGACAGGTGCACGTCAGGGTTCTCTCCAAGGTGTGCGCCTGCCCAGAAGCACTCAGCAGCACTCACCTTCCTGCTGGACCTGGCGTGGCCGCTCCCGGGGCAGGGCCCGGACTGCGTTGGGGGTTGGCTGCTCTGGCAGCTGGAGCTGTGCTGGCAGGCAGCAGCTCCAGCCACCAGGGCTTTTCTAATGCCAGTAACATGAGTTCTCCTGGCTCAAAACTTGTAAACTCCAACGTTCTTATGCAGTTGTGAAATAATAATGACCTATAAGGAAAGGAGCCCCGAGGCTTTGCCTATGCGAGTTCTGCCTGGCAAAAGGGTTAGGAAGCCAGCTGTGTGTTTCTGATCCTCTGGGTTGAACTGTATCATAGCAGCACGGATTAGAACAGCTAGCCCCGGAGATTCAGTGCAAGGCCACGTGCAAGCCTCTGACCTTCCAGTACTGCCCCTGCACCAAGGTCACGCAAAGGTGCGACTAAAACGCCAGCTGGAAGCGCCCCCCTGGAAACAGAATTCTCAGCTGGCCAGAACCGGCTACTCTCCGGGCCGTACTCTGCACAGGGTGGCAATTCGTGAGAAAGAACCTGACCCAGACGTTGATGCAGGGCCTCGGACAGCAGAATTTCTGCCCTGGAATTGAGGGGCCAGCCTCTCCTCTGGGGAGGATCCTTGTGCAGAGAAGGTAGGCAGCATGTTCTCCAGGGCACCTTCTGTGCACTCCCCAGCGCTGACTGAAGCTGCCTCTGCCATCAGAGCCCTTTAACGAGGACACACCGTGAGGATCCAAAAGGGAAGCTGGAACAGCAGATTAGTCTGCCTCTGTCATCCAGGCCAAGTTCTGAAGTGATACAAGAAACCCCCCAAGGTTTCGAAAAGGCACTGTGCAAATCCCAGACTCAGGCGTGGCTGACCACCAGGGTGAAGCGCTTTGTAAAAGGAGAAATGCAGGGTGAGAACCCACACAACTCCTTTACAGAAGGGCTTTTATTAAGCCCCAAAATATAAGAAAAGCCAAAACAGGAAATCTACAAAGTGCCCTTTTTAAAGAAAGAAAAGCTGGTTTGAAGGGAGGCGTTCTAGAATGCCCAGAGCCGAAGGGTAGCAACACCTTCGCTGGAACAGAGCCTGTAAGAGTTTGGCAAAAGAGCTCTCCATCTGGGCATTGGAGAGGAGAACAGAAATGAACTTCATCTTGATACTTGTGCTCCCTTTTCTTTGGTGTTGGAGTTTAAAAACTGTTTTATTTTGTTTTCAAATGCCTTTAACGTGGATTAATCCCTGTGTTTTTAGAGACAATGGTATTGCTAGTCTACACGTGTATTTTGACGTCTGAATCTCCCCTGTGTCAAACATCCTCGAAGAAATCGTGTCGTGTTGGACCCCTAGTATTGAATAGCTGCTCTGAAACCGTTTATTAAAAATTGGGGTTATCGTGATTGTCTCAGGATACCAAGGATACAATTGTGTCTCTCAGATCCATAGTCTGTCATTGTCATGAGATGTCAAGATATGTTGAAGATAATGTTTAAGTTCCACTGATAGGAGTAAAACAAAAGGAAAAATATGTAGCACTATTATTTTTTCCTTTTGTTTTACCAAGATCAGACTAACACAGCTACCTCTTCACTGCTAGGAGTGAGAGACTCACTGAATTTTGATTGACCATTCCAAGGGCTTGCCACTTCAGACGCTGGTGCTCTTTGATAGACCACCCCTAACGATTCCCTTCCAAACCTTTCTGATCCAGGAGAGATTTTGCATACTTCCCCAAACAGCAAAGTGACCTCCGGGTCATTGATTACTCAAGAAAAACAACCTGATTTCAGTAGTTAGTCCTCAAAAACAATATTCTACTTTTACAGTCTGACATAACAAATATGATTTAATGGGTCTGATCAGGGAACACAAATAGCCTGTAGTGCAAGTTTTCAAGGGAATGTTTGTTATGCATTTGTCAATGATCTGCTATAAAATACACGACAAATCAGGAACAAAACAATTGAGACTGGTGAAATGTGTTAGCATATAATTCTAAACAGAAGGCAGCAAATATAAGTGAACACAGCATGAACGATTGAACAAGCTCTACAAATGAATGCAGTTTTAGGGTATATCCGGTACAGTCAGCAATTTAGAGGCTGTGTTCCACAAAGACGTCTATGGACCAATGTCAAATAGATCAAAAAGCAGAGGAACTCATTCAGTTTTTATTTCTCACTACTCTCCTGCCTCCACCTTCGCCACTGCCCTACGCCTACTTTATGAAAAACGAGACGAGACACAAAACTTCCCATTTTGTCTCCAAATCAAGGGCATCAGTAGTAGAAGGGAATATTGGAGGGCTCTGTGGAGCCTCCTGCTGGCCATTTCTCCTTGTCAGGCTTTGAGAGGCTCAGCCCCCTTGCTGGGTAATACACAGCCCAAGTGAGGGTGGCAGGGAACAGCCGAGTAATGGAAGCAGCCTGTGACCTGGGAACTTACTGGAGACGGACCGACGCGGAAATCGTGGTGCTGGTGCGGAGTGGACAGGTCAGGTTCCTGCGTGGGAGGCCAGCGAGAACGGAGTGGAGCAGAACAAGGAGGCTAATTGAACGGGGGTCCCTGTTCCTTTAGTCACTTCATATGAAATGGCCAGTTCAAGTCCGGCGATTGTGGCTTCTCCCTTGTTTTAGAGTTGTGTGTACATCTCCGCGCCAGAGCCCCTACGGAAGCTGGGTGGGGCCTGTGCGTCCTGGCGGATTAGCTCGCCTCAGGCTCTCGGCAGTCCACAGGTTTAGGCACCACGCCCAGGGCTTTCATTTGCTGCTTGTTGAGTCTTTGCATCATCGGCCAGCATATGGTCAAACAGAGACTAAACTGCAGTCCTTTCCCCCAGTGGAAATGGGGAGGTGGGTGTTGGGGGGAACCCCGGCCCACCCTCTGCTCCGGGTTCCAGCCCAGCCCCTGTGATAGCAGCTGCCCCAACACCTGCCGCAAGACAGGCTACTTCCCCGCCCCTTCCTTCTCTCTGGTTTGTGCTCCTAGTGTCCGTTGTCTCCTTTCCTCCTCCTCCCAGCGGCGCCCCTGTCCTCGGCGGCACGCGCCCCAGCTGCCGGCAGAGCTGCCTTTAGAGCCAGTCTGCCCTGGCTTTCTTAACTACTGCCGGTGTCCTAACTGGCCCGGACTCTGCAGGCTGGTCAGTTAGCCCCGATGGCCTCTGCTGGTTCCAAACCAGCCCCTCCCTCTGACTCTAGGTCTGAGGCTTATAGATGGCCACTCCACTGCCTTTCTGCAGCCTGCTGCTCTGGCCTGCGTCGGGGGCCAGGCGCACGCGTCCAGACCAGCACCCAAGACAACTCGGCCCGCTCCTGGCTGGCAAATCCTAGGGGGCTGGTGCGCACTGCCCCTGCTTTGCAGCGGCCCGGTGAGCCCGCTGGGTCAGGTCTGTCCGTGATCTCAGCCCCCTTGCTGCACTGCAGAGCACACCTCCGCCCAGCCCAGGTACTGCCTGCTGAGCAGCAGGCTCCCGGGTAACGGGCTCGCCTTGCCTGGCGCTCTGCCCCGGTGCCAGCTCCCAAGCGGGTGTCTCACCCCTGGTTGGTGCAATAAAAGGCCTCCCCTCCTTGTCGCCTCCCTGGTTTGGAGCTGCTGCTGCCGCTGCTCTTGGGCCTTGCAAGGAGCCGGTGACGCAGCTCACGAGGGGCCGTGGGATGCTGGTGGCTTGCAGCCTTTGGAAGGCAGTTGTGGCCTAAGCCTGTGATGGACTAGTCGACTATCCAGGAAGCAAATGCTTATGGGCTTATGGGCTTAGTTGACTAGTCGATTCTCCCCCCCCCATCGAGCTTCAAAGCAGCACTGCACAGCTGAGCCTGGGTTCTGGGGAAATGCCGCACGGAACCCGCGGTCAGTAGGGGAGTCCCCAACTGACCCTGGGCTCCACGTGGCATTTCAAATCAGCAGCGCAATATGGAGCCCGGGGTCTGCAGTGAACTCTGCGTCCCCCACTGACCCCGGGCTCCATGAGGGCGCGTCCGCTTTGAAATGTACAAGAGCCCCCGCGTGCAGCCCGGGGTCAGCAGGACTTCCCAGGGGCCCCTGGCTGCAGGTGGACTTCCGCATCCTCCTCTGAAACGGGGGCTCTTCTGCATTCCTCCTTGGAAATGTGCAAGTGCCTGTCGACTGGTCAGTTACCTGGGGTTCACACCCTTACTGGGCCTGGGCTGTGGCTGCAGAGAGGAGCAGCAGCCTGCCACCGTG